TGTGCAGCTTTATTGCGTTCGATTTTTTTCTGTTTCTATTTCATAATTTGATTATTTTGTGTTTGTTTGCTTTGGTACTTGTTGTTGCCTATATATTTTATGTAAGGTTGGCTACAAACAAATACAAAAGGCCACGGTTGATATACACATGAATATAAATACGCAAATACACATATAAACAAATACATACACACGTACCAAACCCTTACACAAAACAATCATACAAAACAAATATAAAAAAAACAAACATGCATGTGAATAAAACAAAAAGAACTGAATTAAAACGTGCAAATGATCTATGAATTCATCTCTCTTCATTTTTCACAGACTTTGGATTTTGAAAGAGTGAAAACAGAGAGACAGAGAGAGAAAGAGATGAAAACGCATATTAAAATATTTGGTCCATCGCATTCCCCATCACTAATAGTTTTACCCTATCACAGTTTAGCTTCAGCCCGGTATAAAATGTAAATTAATACTGAATATTGCTTTTATGTTAAATCGTATCAATACATCAAATGACTTATCATTTACAGGTAAATCAATTATACAAAATATTTTGAGCTATTTTGGTATATCTATAATGTAAGTTTTTTTATTTTCAAATATGCGATTTTACAATATCCAATCGCTTGTATTTCTATTGTATTTTTGTTTTTCACACGTTCGTTATTTCTCTCTTTATTGTTTTTGATTATTATATTATTTTGTGTTTGAGTATTGTTTTAAGTTCGTTGTCTTCAATTGTAATACGCAGTAGGTACAACGAACATATTCTATTTATATTTTTAGATTGTTTCAAAATAGAGAGATATTGTTCCGTAATATTTTTTCAAACAAATAATTCAGACAAACTTGATTTATATTTTAATTCACCCTGAATGTCCAAAAACAAAATATAAAGCTAGAATAGATACAGTGAGGTATGACTAAACATGAGTGTGCAGATATGCCGATATAAATGTATGTATATGTGTGTGTGTGTGTGTGTGTGTGTGTGTGTGTGTGTGTGTGTGTGTGTGTGTATGTGTGTGTGTGTGTGTGTGTGTGTGTGTGTGTGTGTGTGTGTGTGTGTGTGTGTGTGTGTGTGTGTGTGCACGCCTCCAAAAATAGCACAGAAAAGGCCAGAAAAGAATGCTAGGTGCAAAACACGGGAGACAAATGTCATCCTTGCACACAACACAAATAAAAAGGGTGTGAGACAATAAGAGAGAAACAAAGCGAGGACACGGAGCGGCTTGGGAGTTCTCGGCGTCTGGAGATGCAGTCACTATAGAAATGTCTCAGGAAGGTGACATTGTTTTAGTTATGCCGATTTTTTGTTTATTTTATTTTTTTCTGTTTTATCTAGTTATGCCGATTTTCTTTTTTTTCTGTTTGTCTAGATTTTGCAGTGACGCTGGTTCTGACACTTTAAATAATCGAAGGCCTTGAAGAAATTCATTAACTATTTGTCACTCACTTGACTGACCTGGTTTGCAACTAATCTCATGGCCTTCTTTTGACTTTCTTCTGATTTGATGCTCACCTGCTTCTCTAACTGCTTCTGACCTGCTTCTGGTTTGCCTCTGACCTACTTCTGACTTCATTCTGACCTGCCGTTGACCAGTTTCTGACCTGCTTCTGGCCTACTTCTGACCTTCTCCTGACCTGCCACTGAACTTCGCTGCTGACAACTCCCATGACGGAGAAGTTCGAAATATGGCCCTTGCAAGCTGCGTGAGCGAGGCAGCTGTAGAGGTGATCAAATTAAGTCGCGCACGGAGGTTCTTGGCCTCGGGAAAAGAGAGAAAAAAGAGAAACGAAGAGAAGAAATGGAGAGAATGAAAAAAGATCATCCGGGATCTGGAGAAAGTTGCGAGAGATGGAGGCGACGCGTGCAAGAGAAGCCCGTCAGGTGTCAAATAAGTGTCAAGGAGAACCCATAAAGGCGAGGACGAGCGATGACGCGGAATGCGAAGGGAGTTCCTGCCAGCCGGATCGCGGGAGGCTCAAGGGCCTTCCGCTCAGCCTCCTGGGATTTGTCCCTCGCGCCTCGTCCCGCCCGGAGGCAGCTGCCCTGGCCGGGGTCGCTCGCTCGCGGACCAGATCACTGTTACTTGCTGCTGGTCTTTCAGTAAATGCTGCATGTTTGTTGATTTTATTTGTCTTCTTTTTTAGGGGGAAGGGACTGATGGAATTGCGGAATTCTCATCTGGAAAAATAAAGTATCCATTCCTGTGGGATTTGTTCGTGAGTCGATCATGCCATGTCCCGGCGGCGGCGGCGCCCTTGGCCTAGGTCAGTCCTGCTTGCTGATTGCGCCGCGCCGTGTCGAGCAGATCGGGAGGTTTACTCTTGCGCTTTTGAGACGTTTGAGGAAAGGCTTAAATCTTGTGGTTTTCAATTGACTTTTCATGATTGTTTTTTTTCTTTTTTTCTTGAACGCTTATTTGAAAAACGAAATATTTACAAGTACGCGAAGATCGACATGCACCGTAAAAAGCAACAGGTGTTCCAA